ATTTTTTAATAAAAAGATCTAAATATTCATTTTTTAAATTATTATTTTTAGCTTTATGATAATATTCTAAAGCTTTATGATTATTTTTTTTAATACCAGATCCATGTTGATAACAATATCCAACTCTATATATTCCTTCAACAAGACCTAAATCAGAAACTTTATTAAAAGTTAAAAAGGCGAAATTAAGTCTCTTTTCTCCTTCGAGGTAAGCTTCACTAAGTAAATAGAGTAATGTTGAAATATCTAATGAATTCTTTTCTTTATTAATCTGATTTTGGAAAATTTCTTCGATATCTATATCCATAAGTTCAGAAAATTCTTCGTTAGCCATTGTAACGAAAAATAAAAAAAATGAACGAATAGATCAATTATCTGTTTCAGTATCCTTTTTTATTTCTAAAACTGATAGTAAATTACTAATATGTTCTATTTTAATTTTTTGAGTTACACGTTCTTTTTTCTATGTAACTTAAAATCAGAATACTTATATTTATACAAAAATTATTTATTAGCTCAAAGTTGAAAGTATTTCAGACATAGATTAATAAATAATCTTTATACTCACAAACTAGAATAAAAAATTATTTAATGAATTGCTAAATTTTAAGTAACTTGATAATTAATCATAAAACTTACTCTCTAAAAGATTAAATAATTTTGAGAATATTTAAGTTTCTGATTTAAGGTAAATAATTTAATATAACAACTAGCCTACTTGAAAATTCAATCTTCATATTTATCCTAATTATATTCCACACCAATTCTATATCCGTAATAAATAGTAGTTCAAAAAATTCCATTAGAATTACCAGCCTCAGCTGATTTTTGATAATATATAAATGCTTTATGCTTGTTTATTTCAACACCATATCTGCAGATTTTTATAGTGAATAAACACTTGATTTTCATCTTTTTCAACTCCAATTCCATATTCGTCTCGAATTTATTGTATAATGATAATTTTAATATTTCTCGAATCTAATTCTTTGACTTGAAACATTTCTATTTAAGAATAATTTTATTCAAGCATGAACATCTTGAATTTATTGTATAACGATAATTTTATTAATTTTTTTTTTTACTAATTATTTTTGTAAATCTCTTCCCCGTCACATAAAATAACAAAAAAATAAAAGGAATATAAATTACTTAATTATTCAAGCATTAATATTAATTGAAGTGATTATTACGATTAAATTGTAATGATATGCTGAAAATTCATTAACCAATCAGAGCAAACTCTATAAAATAAAACAATAACTCTCGATTAGTTTATTCGAATTTTGACTAATTAATTTTATTAGAGAATATTATATAACAATGTTAGATATTAATTCATTTTAAAGTAGTCTTAACTTAATTGAGAAATATTTTAAATTTTTTACTAATAAAAATTTTTTATTAATTCTTCGCAGTTTTTGAGAATGAATTATTAAATATATTAAATTATTTAAAAAATTGTAAATTAAAAATCATAATTTATGGTAGGTAAAATAATACAATTATTGATCATAATAAAATTTTGCAATTTGCATATTTTTTACAGTTCCAATCTCATTCTCGAAATATCATTCAAGATTAAATTTCCCTTCAATAGAATTCATTTTAGCTGATTCGTTATAATAAAAAAATGCCTTATTATTATCTCTAGAAATACCAATTCTATTTTCATAACAATAACCAAGCTTATTTAATCCATTAGAATAATTCATATCTGCAGATTTTTCATAATAAATAAATGCCTTTTCGTTATCTTTACTAGTACTGATTTCATTTTCGTAGCAACGTGCAAGATTATAAAATCCTTCAATGTAATTCATATTAGCAGATTTTTGATAATAAATAAATGCTTCCATCTTATTTTCATTAGTTAAAATTCTATATTCGTAATAATAACCAATCCTATTCATTAATTCATTACAATTTTCACTATTATTTTCTCCAGATTTTATACCAGCAAATTTTTTATCTTCTTTTTCTATTTCCTCTTCGCAACAAGAAATAAATCCTTCTAAATTTACATGCGGATTTTCTTTAAGATGTTTATATTTTTTGAAATAAATTAATGCTTTATGATAATCTTTTTTAACTCCAATTCCAGAAAAATAACAATTGCTAACTTTATACATCCCATCAGCAAATCCTGAATCAGCAGATTTTTTTAAGAAAAAAAATGCATATTCGCTATTCTTATCAACACCATATTCATAATTTTCTCTAAGTAAACATAGTAACATAGGTAATTGTTCCTTTAGACTCTCATATTCAGTGTCTACAATATTTTGAACAACAACACCTTTCATAGAATTATCCACGTTAGACATCTTATATGAAAACAAAAAAAAAATTAAAATACATACTTTTTTCTGCCATGATATTTATCAATAAATTATTGGACAACGCTGTACAGCAGATCATACTTATATTTATACAATTCTATTACATACTAGGAATCTTCAAAAATTATATTATTTAATTTACATCTCAATCGA